CTCCTGGCCGCTGCGGGGCTGGGCCCGGAGCCCGCCGCCCGAGCCGGCGCGTCTACACTCCGGACGGCGGCTTCTCCCCCATCCCCTTCAGCACGTCGTCTATCCGGTCATCCTCGATCACCACTGCGCAGGGAGAAAGCGCGTCAGCCGCGCGGCCTCGGGGGTCTGCAACTCAAGTGGGCCCCGGGTCCCCGCAGCTGCTGCCGGTGACCCCGCGACGCCTCTGGAGACCTCTTGCCTCCAAGCCCTCTCCATCCAAACTCCCCTGCGCACCCGACCTGATGCCGAGCCGGGCTCCCACGGACCCTCCCCCCCTTCTGTGGTGGAACGCCCCTCGTCCACGGGCTGTTCTGCCTCCAGTGCGAACCCTCCCGCCGCCAGAACTGTCCTTCGTCCGAGCTGATGGGGGACCTCGCTCTCGGGAGCCCCTCGCCGCCCTCTGCTCCAATGGAACCCTCCCCTCACACTGGCCCAAACGGAACGCCCAGCCACCCCGACCCTCGTCCCCACCTAAACCTCTCGCCGTCTGGATCCCGCTTCCGATCGTGGCACTTGACAGCATACCCTTCCTTCCCCAAGCAAACAGCCCGGACAACGGCGCCCCCGTCCCCCCAGCTCCCCAATCGGACGCGGCTCTGGACCAGAAGGTTCTTAGTGACCACTGACTCCCTGATCCTAAAGAATCGACCCAAGCTTCCATGCTCCCACTTCCAAGCAGCCCCAAACGCCCCGGCCGGCCCCTCCCCCTCGCCCAGGTGCCAGAGGTGGCGAGCATCGAATCCGGGACACTGTGTTCCCGGGAGAGGGAAAACGGAGGCCAACACTGCAGCGGGGACCCCCGCCCCCTCGGCCCTCCCCTCCCCCCAAAAAAGCCCGGGCAGAAAGGAGAGCGGCTGGCTGCACTGGTCTGCGGCAAGAACTGCGGCCACTTGGCGGGGAACGGCAGCCCGGGGACGCCCAGCAGAGGGTTTCTGGGTCAGGTGGCGACTTCGGGCCCCGGCCGCGTACCTCGCTTGGCTCGGCCGATCTGGCCCAGCTTGGGGGGTCGCTTGGCCTGGTTGCCCGCGAAGAAGGAGTTGGTGTCCTGCAGGCGGCAGCTGAAGGAGAGGTCGGAGCCCTCGGGATCTGCGCCGAAGCGGCCCATCTTGTCCTCGCTGTAGGGTAGGA